TGCTGGCCCTCTGTGTTGATGGCTCTAGCAGGGCAGGGATCCTTGCTGGGTGACAGAAGACAGCCTGGCGTCTTGCAGCTCTGGGGGTAGAGTGTGACAGTTGCAAGAGAAGAGCAGTCTCCTCAGCACAGGCCAGCTGGGCCAAAAATGTCCCCCCAAAGCAGAAGGGGCCACATGCCTGTATTGGGGTTACCATCACCCATTGGGACAGCTTGTTGCATATAACCCATGGCTTCAAGCCAAGGCACAGCAAAATAAAGGCTTCACTCAGCCTGAAATCAGCCCCCAACACAGTCCCAGCCCCACCTGCGAAGTTCAGGACAGCTCAGAGGGAAGAGCAGCCTTCCCCAGGACCCCAAGTCCTTACAGTACACCAAGGTCCATGCCAGCAGCAAACAGGGCAGCTACTGGGAAAGGGAGGGTTCTGGCCAAGAAAGCTCTCTGCAGCCACTGCTTGCCAACAGGAGGGCGTGCAATGCCTGGCCACCTACAGCGATGGCAAGAGGCCTCATGCCAGAGGGCTGTTGGACAAGCAGGTCTCACATGTTGCCCAACTGCTCCATGCTGGAACTGCCAGTGCAGTGGCTATCCCAGCACCAAGTTGGACATGGTCAGCACCCAGCACTTGGCACCAGATTTGCTCCATGTATGCTGGCCAAGCAGGGTGTAGGCTGGAAGCACAGAAAGGCACCCTGAACAGCCATCCCAGGAGTCCTCCCATGCCTGGGCAGGCCTCTTAAGGCAGCAAGGGCAGCCCAGCACACGGGACAAGGCGTGGGCTCCTGCTCATGGTTTCATACCCTGGCCTTTGTGCATTACTTCTAATGCAGGGCACTCTGCCTCACCAGGGATATGAGGGGTGAAACCTTATCCTTTTCTTCTTGGAACTGTGGTAGGGGCCAGGAGAAGCTGAAGGCTGACAGGAAAAGAGACCACAGGCTTTTTCAAATGTACGCTGGGTACATTTGAACCTATGGGAGCTGGACCAGCCCAGAACCAACTCTGGTTCCTAGTGCTGCTCCCAGCAGAGGGGCAGGACTGGAGGCTGGTATCCCAGATGGGCAGGTGCAGGGTGGTCTGCAACAGTGACAGGGGCTCTAGGAGGGATGAGGGTAGAGGAGCTGGCCAAGGACACTGTCACTGCCAAGTGAGGCAGAGGCTGGCTGACACAGCTGTGCTAAGAATACATAGTTTCCTGCACACCCCTGTCAGCATCACTAGGATGCAGAGTTGATGTGACAGCCCCTGTGCTCCCTACCCACTCCATGCACATGGCTTCTCTCCTGCCTCCTGGAAAGGGCTGCCCTGAACTAACCTGCAAGCTGCCTGCCATCAGCACAGCACAGCACAGCACAGCACAGCACAAGTCAGCAGAAACTTTCACAGGGTAGAAGCTCTCACAGAGCTTTGCTCTGGCTCTGGCTCTAGGAGATGCCAGACAACAAATGGTCGCAGGGCCTTCCCATAACCTAGAGCTGCACTGCTGGCTGCATGCTCTGCAACCTGGGGCTCAGGCTCAGGCAGAAGCCACCTAGAGGTGACACCACAAAACTGGAGACATTTCAAATTATGCAGGAGGGTCAGCATAAGCCCTGCCCCCCACTGGGCCATGGGAGCAGCTCTGGGATTCGTCCCCTAGGTGGGCACACCCCCAAACTGCACTGCATTGCCAAACTCATCTGCCTTGTAGGGTACAGAGCACAAATGTTGCCAGCCACTGCCAAGGGGGAGACTTGGCAGCAACCAGCCCAGGGTCCCAGGCAGCCTGGCAGGGCTGTTCCACATCTGTAGCCTAATCGGAGAGAGACTGGGTGGAGCCAGGGGGTCAGGTTCAGCTCCTAGATCAGTCCTTGCTGCTACAATACTGCATGGGCAGCTCCTAAAGTCTCAGAGGTGGCTGCAGCTTCAGGGTTCCCCCTGCTACCAGGCATGGACCTTTTTACTCATAGCCACGTTGCTGTGGGACCAGTTGCTAGGGGATGTCCAGCAAGACAAGTCAGTCGAGCTGATGCTGGGAGCCACACAGCCCTGCAGCTTTCTAGCTAGGCAAGGTCTTCTGCACTGCTGCTGAGCCAGGGACCAGCCCGCCGCGTGTCCTAGGGCACAGGCATGGTTGCTGCATCCCCTTGGGACATGCATCTTGCACAAACAACGTTGGGTCACTCTGGAAGAGACCAGGCCCAACTGGCCCTTCAGAGATGGACTGAGCCAGACCCATGCCTTGGTGCCAAGTCACTTATGTACTTGGTACTTCTCAAGAGGAGCCAAGAAGAACAGGGTAGCAAGCGCTATCCTGAAGTAGCCGTGTGACAAGGGTCTGTACAGGGGATGGGAAGCCTCAGTTCTTGAGGGAGAGGGCAGAACAAACATCTTAGTCTTCCAGCCAGAGAAAGCAGGCCTCACCCAGATCCTCCTCTATGGGGACAAGGTTCCCAAATCGCTGGCCTGGCATCCCACCCATGCAAAACAGAGCCCAGGGCTGAGCTGAGGTAGTGCTTACCCTCCTCAGAGATGGTGTACTTCTGGATGAGCCACTCAACAATGTCATTCCCTGGGGGAACAGAAGCACACATAACCAAGGACACTGGAGACTCAGTGAGCCACAACCCATGTCTCAAAAGCCCCTCCAGCGTCCACTATGGGCACAGGGCCAATGCTGGACTGGCATGGGTTGGCCTCCAGGAGAAGGTACATGGGAAGTTCTAGGAGAGCCCACAAATATAAGAAGAGGGGACTGCAAGGCATGGGTAAGGGCAAAGGCACACACAAAGAGAATGGGGGTGGCAGGAGGATGCTGGGGAAAAGATGAAACAAGAGGGCAGAACCAGGGGGTGACAATGGACAAGAGCACAGTGCAGAGGTAGAGCTAAGGGGTAACCTGGGGCATGACAGGCCTTCCATCCCCATGAGCCTCTGATCACCATCTGGAGCTGTCCAGGGCACAGTCAGTGCCTGCCGAGAAAGCAGCAGACAGCATCTGGGCCTAAGCCTTCCCTGCAGTGTCAGCTCTCAGCCTGGCCCAATGAATAATTGATATCCTGATGCATTACTGCTGGCACATGACTACCTGCAGCCAGGAATGGAGGCTGAGAGCTTGGTTTGGGAAAAGAAAGCAGAGAAGACAGCCCTTGCCAATGCACCGGGACAGACCTGCTCCTGTAGAGTGGAGGATTCAGCACCCTGACTCCAGGTGTCAACTCTGCAGGCTAAGGCATGGAAGAGGGGCAAAGCCACAGAGGAAGCAGTGCATACAGTTTGTGAAAAGGGGGAAATCTGTGGGCCCAGGGGCAGGTGCTTAGCATGATGCCTTAAGAAGGGATCCAGTCTGGCTCTGCAGAAAAGAACATCCAAAACTTATCTTGATTTGCAAGAGCAGCCATTTCTCCCTGGAGCACTGCACATCCCCTCCACATTCTAGCCCAGTGCTAGGCTGGGTGCCAGCAAAGGCAGGCACTGGAGCTGCAGCAAGACTGGGAGTGCAGCTGTGGAAAATACTAGTTCCTGCAAAGCTAGCACAGACAAAGCCAGCAGACTTGTGGGGTGAGGCAACGGCTACAGCCTACAGTCTGGTCCCTCTTGGTGTGGAGGTTACTGTGCAGAGAAGCACTCTTTCTGCTGCCAATATCAGGGTAGAGGTTTCACAAAGCCAAAGGCCCAGGCAAGGCAGTGGCCCCAGCAGCAACATGATCACTGGGTAAAGAGCAAGGTCTGGGGCTGAATCCTTGCACATGGTGCACTTACACCACATTGAGTGTTGTTCACATACACATTGAAAAGCTCCCTACACAACCACCTATGCCATACACACAACATATGCACAGATGCACCACACCACATGGTGTGCAGACCCTGCTCCCCATAATAACATGCACCCAACTGGGTATATGTGCATCAGCCATCTCCCCTGGGCATAAAGAGCATTTGCTCAGAGGAAGATGACCTGGGAAGCGGTAGCACAAAGCATGCCCATTACACTAGCATGCTCACATATCATTAAGATGGTGGGGGAGGGAGCAGGACTGCTGTCCAGTCCCAGATCCCAGGGCACAGACATAGCTAACAGCCGTGTAATCTCCTCAGTGCACTCAGGTTAGGGGTAGACATCAGGGGTGTGCGAAGCGGGTCCTATTCGATTCGGATTTGGCCCGAATCAGGGACAGTGATTCGATTCGTTGATTCAGAGCACTGTCCCCGATTCCATTTGGCCGAATCCGAATCTGAAGATTCGATGCTGATTTGGAGCATCAGCGATTCGGACATAGACACAGCTTTAAATGTTTTTTCTACATGCCTCAAGGTACCAGCGCAGCTTGTGAACGCTACAATGCTGGGGTGCATGAAGCATCCCACAGGAGCGCAGGAGGCCCTCCACATACTCAATGGTGAACCTGGAAGTGGACCGGAAGTACTTCTGGTCCACTCCTGGGTCTGCTGGAGAGCACCCCCCCAGTGATCAGCTGCAGGGGGACCCCGGGTGCCCCCTCAGACCCAGGTGGCACAGGTCGCTGAGCCAGGGGAGTGCAGGGGGACCCCCCGCAAGCTCCCTGGCGGACCCAAAAGTGGACTGAAAGTGCTTCTGGTCCACTTCCGGATCTGCTGCTGAGCACACTGGGGACCACCCCACACTTCTGTGGGTCACTCCCTGCGCCCCAGCATCCCAATGTTGACAAGCTGCCTGCTATCTAGAGGTATGTAGGAAAAACATTTAAAGCTGTGTCTATGTCTGAATCGCGAATCTTTCCGAAACTCTCCAAATTGATTTGGAGGGTTCCAGTTTGATTTGGAGAGATTAAAGGGTCTCTTGATTTGATTTGGATTTGGCCACCAAATTGGGCCGAATCTCCGCCCAATCGAATCAGGGACCAAAGCTTCGCACAGCCCTAGTAGGCATGAGTGATGGGACATTGGGAGAGATGACATGCATGTCTGATGCAGAGGGAGGGAGAGAACATGAGTAGAGGGAGGTGGGGTGAGGAGCACAGTAGAACTTACCAGTCATTGCATGAGGGATCACTGTAATTAGCAAGCGCTGGTTTCTCATCTTGACACCCATGTCCGGATCTTGCATGATGACAATCATGCGCTCCATCTGAGGGGGAGAGCAGCAGAGACTGAGTCAAAGAGACCAGCCCACCCCTACACACTTAGCAAAGACCCATTGACAAACTCTGCATGTTGCAAGGGGAGTACTGCAGCCCCTCTGCACAGTTGGGGAAGGGCAGGAAGAGGCCTGGGCATCCTTTATTTGCAGAGAAGAGATGAGACCAAGCAAGGTGAAGGGGTAGCACTAGGGCAGAGGGAATTTCAGACTAGCAGGTGCCAGGGAGCACAGGCTGGAGAGGAAGCTCCGAGCTCCCCATGCCATGGATCTGAAATCCCAGAAAGTGCCTCTGCTCCAAGCAAAACTCTGGGTAGTGTGGGCAACAAGCTGGAGTCCTCTGCTCAGGGCGTAACTGGGGTCAAAGAGCTGCCCAGAAATTGGATCTCATAAGAGATGGGATGGAAAACAACATGGAGATGCTTTTGTGTCTTTCCAGAATCAATGACACAGCCTGGTCTGGATCCTGTGGTCTGCCCTGGTCACACAACCTCCTTCAGGATATTGAAGAATGCAACTGAAGGGAAGGAGGATAAGAACAACTGGGGCCTGGACAGATTGTCAGAGAAAGCGAAGAGTGGATATGTTACCTCAGAGAAGAGACAAGTATGAGGGGACCTGGTGAACAAGTGACTGGTCTAAAGAGAGTTGAGTTGGGAGTGCCTGTCTTCTTCATCTTGTAACAAAAACAGGGGACGTATAGAGACAGCAGAATGGAACACATTCATCAAACAAACAAGAAGAATCACACCCCTGCACAATATACAAAGCTCAGGGAACTCTAGACCACAAGAGGTCACTGAGGCTAAAAGCTCTACAATATTATCACATAATCACAGGGCTGGAAGGGACCTCAGGGGTCATCTAGTGAGTCCAATCCCTGAACAGACCTAGGATGAACTGTTGCTAAACCATCCCAGACAGGTGTTGCCCAGCCAGCTGCTTCCTGAAAGTATCCAAGGAAGAGATTCTATAAATTCCCTGGCTAACTTGTTCCACTGTCCTATGGTTCTGCCAGTTGGGAAATGTTTCCTGAGGTTTAACCAAAATCTGCTTTACTTCAGTTTAAACCCATTGTTTTATGTCCTACCCTCTGCAGCAGGGGAAAACAGTTATTTCCCTCTTTCTTATGGCAGCTTTTCAAATGTCTGAAAACTGCTATCACACCCCCCATTAAGTTCCTTTTCCCAAACCAGACACGCATATATTTGTCAGCTCTTCCCTCATACAACTTGCCCTCCAATGCCTTTACCATTCTCACTCACTTCTGGATCTTCTCCATTTTCTCTATATCTTTCTTAAATACGTTGCCCAGAAATGCACACAGTACTCCAGCAGAGGCCCAGCCAGCATCCAGCTGAGTGGCACTATCAGCTCCCATATCTTGCATACAATATTTCTGTTAATGCAGCCCAAGGCTGCAATTTTTTGTGTGATAACATCACACTGCTGACTCATGTTAAGCTTGTAACTCTAGATCCTTTTCAGTAGTGCCTTTTCAGTTACCACTTCACTTTGTATCTGTGCATTTGGTTTCTCTTCCCTAGGTGTAGCACTCTACACTCCTCTTTGTTAAATTTCAGTTTGTCTATAATTCTCCAATTCATCATGTTCATTTTAAATTCAACCCCTATCCTCCTAACTGTTTGCAAGACCTCACAGTTGTGTCATCTGCCAACTCAGTCAGGAAGCTTGCTATTCCCAATCCAATCCTTTAACAAAAATGTTAAATGGCACCTGACCCAGAACTGAGCTCTGTGAAGCCACCTGCCATTTAGTTTCTCTCTGATTGTGGTTATTCACCCAATTATATATCTCCTTAACAGTAATTCTACTTATCCTATATTGCTCTAATTTATTTACAAGAATGTCATGGGGGAACATACGAAAAACCTTACTAAGATTTGGGCATATTATGTCTATCGTGTTCCCTTCATCCATCAATCCAGTTACCCTGTCAAAGACAGGAATCAATTTGTCTTGGTACAATTTGTCCCTAATGAAGCCATATTTAACGCTGCTAGTGACCTCCCTTCCTCCTCCAGGTATTTGCAAACTGATGGTGTTATGATTTGCTCTAGTAACTTTGCAGACATTCAGCAGGGGGCTGGCTGTGTCTCTGGGGGATGAGCATCCCAGTCATAACAGTGCAGGCTGAACAAGGTGGAGCTCTGGAAAAACCACAAGCCCCCCTGCTTCAGGACACTCAGCATCAGACACCAGAGGCTGGGGAGGGGGAGGGGAGTTGGGGACTCCACCAGCCTTCCTGCTAAAGGGTGCTGTAGTCCTGCCCGCTAGAGGGGCCTGGGTCTGACCCAGTCAGGCTAAGCCTCTCTCCCATTCTATCAAACAAGCAGAGCGCGACAAGCCATGACTTCATAGGAACAAGGCGGGTGAGCAAATGCAGATGGATGACCAGTGGGGACGTGCCCTGCCCTGGGGCTGACAGGTGGCAGGTCCAGCTTGTTTCCTGAACTGCGCTTAGGACTCTGGCCTTCAGCCAAGCTGCAGGTGCTCTGTTTATTCAGCAATCTGGGCCCCCAGACTCCTGGCTGGGACCACCACGGGGGCAGTTCTCCAGCCGAATGAACAAACACGGGGTGAGGCCCCACCCGCCCGGCCCAGCTGACAGGAGTGGGCAAGGAGGCACTCCGGGCTCAGGCTGGTTTTAGGCTGCAGCCAGAGCCAGCCAGAGCCAGCCAAAGCCCCCCGGGGCCTGGGGCACAGGCCCCT